TAGTAGTAGTAGTAGATACACATCCACAACTAATAGTACTAGTAGTAGTAGTAGATACACATCCACAACTAATAGTACTAGTAGTATTAGATACACATCCACGACGAAATTGTACTTTGGCGTGGGTTGTGGCTGTGTCGTGCACTGCTTTGTGCAGTTTCTTGGACCAAGTATGCTTGGCGTGGTGCATTGCGGCTGTGTGGGTGCTATGGAGGGACCGATAGTCCTGCACCAATCTACAAATAGCATGACGCATCATTAATCGCTCGGCAAGGAATATATATATATATTATATTTATATAATGGTCTCCAAGGGATAGGTAGATAGATACTTGTATACCAGCAAACACAGTCAGCTGCTCAACACTGGAATCGTCCAGACCACATGTACGTACGGTCAGTCACGTACGTTGTTAATGAAGCTTCGATCATGTCAGTGGCGGCCGCGGAATTCGCTGGAACCTTCGGCGAGTTGGAGGATAACGTCACTGTGGTGGAGTTGTCATGCCACGTTGTCATTTTGGCCAAAGGCAATGTCGCCACTGCGGCTTGCATGGTCCCAGCCAGCCATGCCAAGTACATAGTGAGGGCGGCGGCGTCAGACTGTTGCTGAATTTGCGACGACAAGGTACCCAGCATGTCATCCAACGCTTGCACTTTGTCGTGCCACATGTCCTGGAAATGGTTTAGCGGCACCTCTTGCTCCTTGACCCAGGTTGGAACGTGTGGTGGTGGCGGTGGCTGCATGTCACTGGTGGTGGTACCAACGTGTGTGGAAGATAGGTGGTGCAGGGAGGTCGCGATCGTTTGAGTTTGAGCGTGTTGAGTGTCCGCCGCACCAGGTTTAAGCGTGGTACTAGTAGAAAACGAGGACGCATCTTGCCGGGGTGGTAGAGATGATGCTGTCGTGTTGATGGTGTGGACGGGAGGACTGGCTCGCCTCAGTTGTTGCGATGCTTGGTTGGGTGGCCATCGCTGTGGCGGCGGTGGCCGTCGCTCCGCGTCGAGCTGCAACCGCAGAGACTCGAATTTCTCGTGGATTTGACGGAGTTGTGAGCACTTCGATGCGTGCATGATGCTACCAGCTGTCGTCGACTGTACGTTCAAGTAGCTAAAACACGCATCGGAATCACTGGCATGCTCCTTGCTCTTCGGCGTGGAGGACGCGTCATGGGTCGAAGACTCGGAGCATTCGTCCCATGATGGCAAGTTCCATATCGACATGGCGACGACTTCAACCAAATTCGAAAGATCGCATGTTTAAAGTACATTTGATTGAAATAATCTCGAAATAATTGACTAGGATTTGATCGAATCATCGGACTTAAAATCTGAAATGAATGACATTATGGGGCCAACCATCAACACCAAGGTTCGCGACACTTGCTACTTCGAATTTGCCATTTCATCGGAAATGATTGGTTGAATAACTTCGAACTTCGATGGAAATCTCGATATTTAGCCAATCACATAATGCTTTTCACATATTCAAATCTTATTGGCTATAATATTCTGTACTTCCGTAAAACTTCGGTGTCCCTTAAAATCCGTCGCCCCCTGTAGTACATACAGACAGTACAGTACCGGTACGATACTGTAATTGTACAGTACCAGGAACGACTACCAACGACTCGTTAACAGATGAATCTAGCTAATAGCTGTGGTACTGTACTATTAATAGTATACGACAAGAGCCCAGTACGTATTGCGATCCGAGATGCAAAGTTTTCACCAGGAGCAAAGCGCAGCAGGACACGGTCCTCGGTATCTAAATCTAGGAGATGTTTGTCATGGGATCTCTAAAGTTTGATTTGGGACAGGGGGCGACGCGTCCATTCACACTGCACAGATTTTTTGGGGCCGATTTGACTGATAAGGAAATAAATGAATACTACTAGTATTTGTACCGGTACAGTGCGTATTGCAGAAAGTAATAATTCAAGCTTGGAAAATGAACACAAACACGGCTTCAATACAATTAAAAGTATAACCCTACTACTACTGTACACAAATGCTTCTTGAAGTATATCGTGGCTTGAATAATTAAAATGTGGCCGCACTCCCAGCCGCCAACGACCCGCGCGAGGATCGATCGAACGAGTAGGACTTTGAGTTTCGTCGCTTCGATCGCATGGTGTCCATGATGGACCCGAGCAGGTCGGACGCGCGCTCGGATGACCGGACGCTGCCCCGCGCGGCATACCTTCCAGGGCAAATGCCGCCGTCGGTATCCCATTCGACGGGGATGTCAAGGTTGAGGTCGCCCAGGAACGCTCGCAGGTCGTTGGGCTCTTCGAACTTGACACACACCTTGTCTTGTGGAGAGAGGATCATTTTGAGTTTCAGGTTGGCTTCCCACGTCATTTTCGTAATGTCGTCGAGTGCGACGCGGGTGTTGGTGTTGAGGAATACGATCTCTTGGTCCTGTGGACACACTTCGATGGCCATGTACTTGCGGGAGAAACCGACCTTCTCGAACAGCGTCGTGCACTTCTTCGTGTAGTACACGCCCATCGAGTCTGTTGGTGCAATGTCGACGTGGATGAAATGCCAAACCCAACTGCTGCAAGAGGCCAAATGGGTTGGTGATTTGCCAAATTTGTTGAACGAGAGCGTGGGACATGCCACTCTCATTTACTCTCATTCGTTCTCCCGAGTACATTTCGACGTGATGGCAACCTGGCTTGACGCGACTCAAGGTGTAGATAGTTAGCAGGACGAAACGAGTCGACGCAATCTATACATGTATACAGGCACAAAACTAAAGAGAAAAAGACAGACCTGACGAGTCCTTGGTCGAGTTTGATTTTGGAGTGGGTACTCTCTCAGAGAGCACATTCTCGTCGCCACGATGCGGGTATTTGCTTCTCCACACCGGGTATATGCATCTATCATTACTTCCGAAATCTTGTATATCTGAAATTTTGGAGTGCTTTTCAAAATTACTGTACTACATACAGTAGCAGTACACTGTACTATTGACCATCAGCATAACGTTACCGGTAGATAGATCTGTAGCACTGCAGAGCAAGTTAACACATTGATAATATTCCCAAGCAACTTCGACGCATGATTATAAGCAAGGTGCAGACAATCTGTACCTCGTACTACTTTCGAGTTGTAATCCAGAGGCTTTGCGGTTTTATGTCGACTTTGCAAGCCAAGAGATACCAAACCGAGTCAAATACCCGACAGTCCATCAAATATCTTTGAAGTTCGATGTGGCTTCTTCTTGAGTTGCAAGTACAGTACATATTCAAAACAACTGTGGAGGTAGGTATTTTAATCGGGGAAATCGTATTACATTTGGGAAGAATATGGACTACTGGGTCTATGTATTTACTGTATGTCTTGTTTTCGAATCCAACACTTTTCGTCCCTACCACCAAATCGCAACGAAATCTAGTAAATCACTACTACGTAGTACATCAGTAAATCTGACAGATTTGAGCCGAATCCATCAAACCACGTTGATTACACCAGACTGGTAAGTACCGTCCATAAGCTTACGCCGACCGAGTAAGACAATATTAATTCCTTCCGTTATTAAAACAGTTGTTTCTAAAAAAATACTGCATTTTTTGCGTGTTTCTATGGAGCTTTGTATACTCGACCCATTTTCCTCTCGTGGATAATTCATTTCGTGATTGAATTACAACTGACACTGTTCTAATCAACGACTGATCATGACACCGTGTCGCATAGTCACTTTCCACTTGCTTCTCATCTATCGATGAAGAATTGACATCAACATCATCATAGTATACGTATACAAACACAAAACTCGACCAAACAGGGTTTGCCATACTACATAGTATCCAAAACCTACTTTTATAATATGGGTTACAACAAGCCGTTGCGAATGTCTTCCAGTTTCTTGAGCACTTCCATGGGGGTTTGGTCCATGTCTTGGGCGATTTTCAGCTGCTTTTCCGCCGACAACATGCCAAATTGATCGCACAAGTCTCCGTCCGCCACGTCTTTGACTGGAATAAAGTACGACCGGTAGCTCAAGTGGTCTCGACCGCACAACGGCGGAGCTTCTTGACGCATGTACCTTCACGTGATCATAAGTATATGCAATGTGTATATATATATTTGTACATTTCCAAATGTGTGGCAAAATCCACATCCACCCGCGACGAGAATGGAATGAGCGCCCCAATGCGCCCCATCACGGTCGTGTACACGATGGCTTCTTTGCCCACGGGCACCAGCCGCGTGCGCACCATCGACGTGATCGTTTCGCCCACGTAAAACTGACACACCTACGCCAAAACATTGTGAAAATGCTGCATCCGCCAAAGACCCGTTAAGGATACTTTGTTTCACGTTCCAAAGTATATACTATTAATAGTACTAAAACTTTTATTGTATTTCAGCAATCTATTCCACCAAGAAGACAAGACACACACCAGATGGAACGGAAAAGGTGAAACCACCCACACCATCCACGCCCCATGCATAATATATATTGACAAATCAATAAGTTTTTCCATCAACTGCATATATAGTGACGAATACATATGTTTGTCACGCCATGTTCTTGTCCCATGCATATATATATATATATTGTGGCCGTAAATACCTGCTCGACTTTGTTGGGCGCGCCGTTCAACAGATGTGCGTCCCAGAGCATGCGGTTGCCGCTGGGGTTTTCGACCTGGTCCGACACTTCTGACGGCAACCGCGTGACAAACACATTGCCAAACTTGTCGCCCCCTGCCATCGTATCGTAATCGACCTACAAAAAATACGTGAACAGCCGCCATAAACATATCTCACCATACATACCAACGTGGACGCAGAGATGCACCGGGGCACAAAGTCGTCGGCGAAAATCACGAGCTGGTTGTCGTCGGCGCGGTATCGCACAAAGTGAAACGAATGGTGGTTGTCCGACGCGTAAATGCGGGCGCCGGCGGTCGTGAGCTTGACAATCGTCGACGGAAAGTTGCGGTTTTCACACTTTCGGAGCATCTTCTTCTTGCCGAGGTCGTAAATGCGCAGGATTTTGCCCACCGACACCAACAGCCGGCCTTGGAACTCGCACATGGCGTACGGGATCCCGTCCAGTTCCGTCGTGTGCACGAGCACCAGCGACGCGCCTTCCACCAAACGGTACACCCGCAACAACCCTTCTTGGGTCACACTCGTGCCCTACATGGGAAAAAATCCCATACAAGCATATTAGAACCATATAATCAAATCGATTCTTCACAACTGGCGAGCCGTCATCGAAAGTCTGAAGAGAGAGAATGGCACGTTTAGCCGCAGTGGGCAAGACCAAAAATATCATACTTCTACTCTTTGTTATATAGGTTGTACAACAAGATCCAATAGATTCGAATATGCTATTACTTGGCGACATGACTCACAAGTCCAAACTTGGGGTGAGTTAGGCACCATACAGACAAAACGATGGGTTTGAAGCCACACCAAAGTTTATGGGTGTATCCATGTATGATGGCCAATCAGATTCAGCTATGATAAATCAGTTGGTTTGATTTGTCATTAAAATCGAATTTCCAAGTATATATAATAGGCCATCCAAGAGTTAACATATATAATTTACTTTGATTCAAAGCGTGGGTTCAAATCCATCGTTGTCTATATATATATATATTCGTACAAAATGGAGATAAATACATGAATTATTCTCAATCGTCCACCAATCAAAATATGGTACATCTAGAGGTCGTACCGTGTGCAGCTTCATGTGGAGGACACTCCCGACAATGAGAAACGTCTCGCCGCCGCGGTCATGGAAGACGCACGTGCTCATGCACATGGCGCGTTCGTTCGCGTCAAACAAATGGCAGAGCACCGTCTCACATGTCAACGGGTCGATCACTCGCAAACATGACGCCCAATGCCCTACGTCGTCGTAATGGTCATCATCACTTGATAGAACCAAAGACTTTTTATCTAAAGCATCCTTTTTGCTGTATATTCATACCAAAGATAACATTGTTGTTGTTAAAGTACACACTACAGTAAATTGCTGTGTATGTTTGGACTGTACCTGCTCCGTCGGGGATGGGTGGTCGGTAGCTTAACAAGTGATTCTCTTCTTCGTCGTCGTCGTCGTCGTCGTTGTCGTCTGTGAGGGGGAACGTGCCGGTTTCAAACCCGACGCTGGCTACAAGTGGTCCACAATATATATATATATATATATATATAAATATATATCTCACAATGTATGTTTATAGATATATGTCACGACTACCGTTTTCGTCGGCCGTCAACGCGTTGTGGTCTGCTTCCAACACCAACAACCGACGGGTCACGCCATGGACAATCGCCTGCCGGGGCGTGTACTGCAGCGGCACCACTTGCTGGTTAAACACTTGGCCCAAAGCGTCCAGCGTGAGGATCTTGAGCTCGTCTTGGGCCACAGCCACCACGCCTTCGCTGCACTGTTCCGACAGAAACGCGCTCGCGTACGACAGAGGTTCGCAAGACAGAGGCGTCAACTGCCGACGCGCGCCGTAAAAATAGCTCAGCCACCCCCGCGAACTCAAGCCTAGTTATCGAAAAAAAACATCCGCATTATATATATAAATAACAGCAATGCGTTTTTACCTAGAATCGCCTGTTTGCCTTGGACTTGGACGCGTACCAACTTGACAGGTTTGACCCCCAAGAACCGAGTGCGGGTGTCCAACACCTTGGCGGTCAACGGATCGATGCGGGACTGCTGGAACACCCCGTTTTCCATGCTACATGATATACACAAGACAAATCAATCTGCGATACAGTACACAAGAACATCAACATCACTTGGCTTTGTCAAGATATAACAACTCCCTCTAGTATCAAAACCCAAGCAAAGTGCCGTCTTCCCAACTGCCTTGTCCATAGCACTTGCATCAGCATAAAATCGTACGTACACATATGACGAAAGACAAGGGTCAACACAGTACATAGAACCGACATACAACTAGAAAGATCGTCCATATGATGGGTCGACTGTGTCGTACCCGATACTCAAAAACAGCGCGTGCCCCCCCAGTGCGTCCGCATGGGGCTCATGTTGTAGCTGCGCAAAGCACAAACTATGGGGGTGCGACCCTGGCAGCGCCAGCAGCGTCTGGTCCGCAAACAAATTGTTCGGGTCGAGGTTGAGAATGCGCACGTTGCCGTCGTAGCTCCCGACAGCCAAAAACGGAAACCGCTGGCGGCCTTCAGGGACCGGCCCAATGTCCAACGAACTGATTTCGCCCAGGGTTTCTGTCCGTCCAACTTCGGCCAAGTCCCCCGCCGCATTCAATTCAAAGTAAATCAACGTGCCCCCGGCCATGCTGAGCACCACTTGTCGTGCGTTCGCCGAGCATTTCTCAATCACCTATATATGTGTTGAGACCATGTGGACGACAGTCATCTATCTGGCTGTACCTTTTTCCCGGGGGCTTTGAATTGCATGACGCCGTGGTATTGCCGGACGTGGTTGAACCCTTGGCGATGGATCTGCACAATCGAATCGTCGGCGAGAAGTCCCACGAGAAGCGACCCGACTTCCTTTGTCAGCCCCGTCGTCGTCACTTCCTCGACGCTTTCGCCCACTTCCTGTACACAACACATGCAATTCATACATGAGGTATATATATATAAACTCAAGTATAGTGTTTTGGAATCTCTTGTCAATATGGGTATGCAAACTAACAGTAAGAAACAGTGCACACGTACCAATGCTATAATACACATCACAGGTTGCATCATCCAAATGAGTTTTAAAATAACAACAGCATTGGAACGAGTCGACTAGCTAGCACCAACTCTAAATCGTTCGAGATGTACATAACATATTCGACGTAATGCTTCTATATATATATATATATTATAAGCTGGAGCGACATGGGGAATGCATCGACACTCAACCAAATGTACTATAGAAGAATCATCGGCAAAGCAAGGATTTAGCCAACCCAATCAGACAGATTGCAGGAACCCATCATCCATATCGAATTCGAACTAGACCTTGAAATAGTGTGATTGCCATTTTCATTGCATACAAAACTCAGTCCAAAAAGAATCGATTATCGTTTCGATTTGGCGAATCCGAACACATTTCCAAAGTTTTAGAGTAAATGGAAAAGATATGAACAATAATAACAATATTTATATATATACATGGACACACGACGTACCAGCACCAACGTGTTGTCTTCAAATGACACGACAATGTACTTGTGGACGGCGTCATCATGTTGCGCTTTCAAACACCAGACGGCTTTGGCGATATGCGGCAACGGCGAGCATGCCACTTCCGTGATACTCAGCCCATGCCGCAGCACTCGAAGCGTCGATCGATTGCCTTGACCGCATAAAGCATACCTATCGAAGAAACATCCATTTCATCCTTCTTCCATACATTATTCATTGTGGTTGTCATTCGAAACCGGAGCGACATACATACCCACACGTTCCATATCATCCACATGTATGTACTTGGAGTATTGCCAAAATAAAAATAGTGTGACGGGAATTGGCATCAACATTCAGTTCGATCGTCGATCGGTCTCTGCATAATAATGGACAATATATACTGTATATATATATATATAGTTGTGTTTACTCTAAAGTGGAGATGCGACATGGAGATTAATGAATCGACACAACCAAATACATGTACAGGAGAATCATCGGCAGAAGGATATATTTAGCCAATCATATTGCAGGAAATCACCTTCATCAACGTCAAATTAGTGTTTGACTTCAATTAGTGTGATATCAATCACCACAGGACACCGTCTTTACATACAAACTTCAGTACAAAGAATAATCGATCGATAATAGATTTGGCGAATATCAGCACAAAAGTAATTCAAATTGTTTTGGGTAAAAGGACAATATATACAATAAACGTACATTTGAGGGGTGTGTTCGTTGGCGAGGTCGTCGACCAGCAGCTGTGTGATGGGCGCGAGGCTGTCCAAACTCTCGACGAGCGCCAAGTTTGTGAGTCGGCGCAGCGTGAAGCTGGGCACGTACTCCTGGAATGAATGGGCTTCGGCCGTGTTGTCGTTGTCGCCGATGGATTGGAACTGGAGCAAGTAGTGCTTGGACGCTTCGCTGGCGGCGAAGAGGTACCCCGTCTTGGTGATGCACAGCGCCACGGCGGGCGGCAGCGTGTCGAAAAATTTGACCTTCACGGCCGACACTTGGTCGTTCACGTACGTGAGTGTCACTTTGTACAAGTCGCCCAGTTCCGACTGCACGATCACAAAGAACAGGTCGCGCTGCTTGTGGGTCGCGGCGGCCACGATGAGCACTTCCGACCGCACGTCCACGTTGGTGTTGACGGGGCGGGCGCGTTGAGGGATGCGACAGGGCACCTACGATGGGAGGACGGAAACATGAGCAATGTCGCGCAATGATAAACGTGCATTGGAAGAACGATGGGGAGAAAGGATATGGCGATGATTGCGGAATTGATGATACCTCGGGATGACGCTCGTTCTTGTACACGATCCAGCCTTCCGAGCAGACCAAAACACCGCCGGGGCCGTCGGTCCCGCCCGGCACCGCAATGAGTTTGTTGGCCGACCGCAACACGGGTTCGCTCCATCGACGCGTGACATGGTTGAGCCCGAGGTCGAGTTCGTAGTACACAAGCGACTTGACGGCGTCGGCCACGCCAATAGTTCCATCGTCGTGCTCCGAGTAGTCGACTTCGAGGATGGCAAAGATGGGGTTTTCAAACCCAACGTCCACGCCGACAATGTCAAAGTGAATCGCGTGAGACCGATGCGCTTCCAGCGGACTCGAAATCGTCAAACGATTCGACGCGTCTCGGTTCATGATGTACACGAGCTTCTGCTTCTCCACCTACCACATCAACACAAGTATATATCAGCATATGCATATATATGGGTACAGAAACGAAACATGCATCTTGAGCACGCGAGAAAGTACATGCACTCGATGGGGTATTATCTCGGCATGACGAGAAAGGACATGCACTGGATAAGGCGTAGAGCTTACCGCGCCAACCATGATCGCACGGCCCTTAGGGTCAGAGGCGAGATATTGTCCAGGGGTGATGCGACGGCAGCCCGTCTTGCCATACGTTTCGGAATGGCGCACTTCCCACCGCGACAACTCGACCATGAACTCCAACACCGTGATCTTGCCCGAGTCTGTGCCCACGACGAGGAAATCCTTCGTCCCGCCGGTCAATCGGAACGGTAGTAGGGACCGAATGACGCCAAACACTTGCTGGCTGTGGATCGTTTGTAGTTGCTTCAAGCCGCCCCCCGCTTCCGACGGCGATTGCGTCTGCAGCAAGCGAATGGACGTCCCACCACTGCACACGATATCCTGACTCTTGGTGCCACAGAAGTTCCCGTACACGGCGTCCGTAATGGCGCCGCCCTCCTGGAGCGTGATGTTCATCAAGTGCATGGTGCCTACTGCTTCCTAAGCTGCTTCCTTTCACCACAGAATGAAATTTCGAACTGACAGGGGACATCCGGATAATACCGATATTATCCGGTACTCCTTGTTCAAAAACGCGCCAATGTCATTTTTGAATTGCCCACGCAGCAAGCACCCCTAATATCGCGGCACATGGCAATGGAGTTCGATGCATCCACCCAAGAAGGGTAGAAGCATGGAACCCTAGAAGCGAAGAAGCATGGAACACCTCATGCCCTTGTAGGACAGCGTACATCACTTTCACCTTGCATGTTGCTCCTATGACCCTGCATGGAGAGTCATGCACGACACAACTGCAACGATATTCGAAACAAGACATTGACGTGTACATCTGAAATATTATACCAAATGAACATGTACGTCATCCTGGTGTATGGATTCATTGTGACTCTCGACTACGCGCATAGGGTAGATGCCCGAGTTGAGTCCGACGATGTTGGACTCGTCAATCCGAAGCACCGTGCCACCGTACTCGCCATCGATCGCCCATGTGTTGACCTGGACGTAACAGTCGTCCTCATACTTGGGCAAGAGCGCAATCTCCTGATACACGATCGTGTCATCTACCCACTTGCCCGCCGTGGCGCTGATGAGGTCGCCACTGCCGTTGTAGATGCTCACGTTAGCTCCCGTGCGACCCATCACAGGCTTGGCCACGTATCCGCCCGTGAACAACGGAATGTCCGCCGCGTCAAATGTGGATCGAAGCAGGTACGGATTGTCTGGAGCCAATTGAGTCAAGATGGGCAAGATCGCCTTGGACGATGGCAGCACTGTCCACAGAGGTTCAAACACTCGAACAGACGGATGCAGCATCACGTCCATCACTTGGACCACTCCAGATGTCGCTGCTGCGCCGGCATTCCTGGCCTCGTACTGACTGATCACAGTCTGCCACGCCCATGTCTTCCACACATTTCGCAGCGGCCGGTTCTGTCCATCCAAAATAGTGGCGCCGTCGCTGCTGTCGAAATGGAGATCTTGCACGCCAACGATCAAAACACTGGGAATCCCAGCGGCTTCAGCTGCTGCCTTCATGTACAACGAATGGTACCGCTCTTCGTCGTCGTCATCACACAATAGATGCAATGTGCCTTGGACGTTCTTGGACTTCCACGCTGCAGTCAGCTGGGTGAACAACGTGGAGCTGTTGCTGCGACCGATAGACCCCAAGCCCGCAGCATTCGACCAGGCATCTTGTGTGTACCCGCACTCCATCAGACACGACGCCGAGTCAGCGTTGTACTCGTAGACTTTGATGCCGTGGTCGGTCAAGGCAAAATCTAATCGGCCTGAGATGGTGTCGTTTTTTCTAGGAAATGCAGTTTGTAAGCATCATGACCACAGTACCAAGTTGATGTATAAACATGACGTACTGACGGGCCCAGGAATCTTGGATGCGCGGCCACAGCGCGGCGGGGATGTGGAAATAAGGCGCCAAGGACTCTTGGTTTGCGAGGACGTGCTCGGTGGCTTGCACAAACAGAGCGTGCAACGTGGCCGTCGCAGCTTCGATGCCTGCTTGACCACTTTCCGTCAATGTGTAGTACTTGGTCTGAAGGGACGACGAGACTTCGGGGCCGTATTGCTCTTCAAATACAGGAACGTAGGGAAGCGATTGGTCGAGGTAGCGTGCATGTCCAACGTCCGCCGGCACTTGCAACGAGTGCACGGCTAAATCGTCCTTGTAGCTGTTGGGAAACACATGATTCAGGGAAACAGTAGTTGTTATTGACGGCGCTTGTTTGGCTTTCGGAGACGAGAGCACCGTCGAGGAAGTTGTGACCGTCGTCGTCACCATGTTGCTGAAGACGCAGGGAGCAAATGCGGGAGTGATCAACCATGCTTGGCCAGCAAGGATGTTCCAGATGGTTCAATTCTCACAGTGGGAGATTGGACCAGGTACGACATTGAGTGTCGCAATTGTACGATGTACGATCTAAACACAAGGAGATTATATGCAGATTTGATGGTACATTCCATGTCAAGTACGTACATAGTTGTACTATGTACGAAACTGGAGTTTCGAATGAAGGCACTTGATGTCCGGATATGATTTCCGGATCGGACCATTGTTCCGTATATTGTTGTAGTACTTCAAGTATTCATTTTCCCTCAATACTAGGTTTACTATTAATAGTATTGGATTCCCTGGTCACCTCGTTCGAATCCACTGCATGTACATTTGTGGTACTGTATAGTATTACTGTATTCATATCTAAACAACGTTCTTGGAATTCAATCGTGATCGCCGTCGTCGACCTGATGCGCTCTGAATTCCAACAATCGATAATATAACCTGTAAAACGCAAACTTGGATCGTGTCGGCGTCGTTCATTGGTTTATTTCGACCAATGAAAGCGGCATCCGTTTCGCCTCTACTAGATTTCGTCATCGTCTGGATCTAGTCATCAAACTGTTCTGTACCAATACACGATAGATATACATATAATTCCCTCTCTCCTACTACCATAACATAGTGCTCTGAGTATTTCATGAATCTACCTCGAAGGAGCTCTATCCAACGTTGATCTCCGTTTGGTTTGGAGCCTACTACTACTGGGAATACGGGAACAGGACACAAACACATCACTATGAATAATTAAAGGTCCTTGATTCCTTAAAATCATGGTGTACCATTGTCGAGGGATACATGCAACTTTTTTCAAGTTGTCACATTATCTTTTTTAGCCGCGAGGAATGTCTTAAAAAGATAATCCAAACTCAATTACAGTGTAATCATGTTGTCACGTGCGAGTCAACTAACTGGAAGTAACTGAATCTGCCTCTGAGTCAAACAACGCGCGGCAGTTACATATTATTATTCGCTTTTGAAAATCTTTATGTTGATTTATGTATGTGTATTTTTATTCAGTCCCAGAAATATTCACCTTTGGCAAAACGATTTACTGAATACACCCTGCAGATTGCGCATGCGCACATGCAGGAAAGGCGCGACGCAGGTCAGCGATTTCTCAATGCACACTGCTCTACGGAACTAACTACATGTATCCCTTCCTCATAACAACAACCAATATTGGAGATTCGGTACGAATTTCCGGACCCCGTTCAATCGAACCGAGCACCAATCTCTCCCATTGGTGAATCCGAAATTATTTGTCGCTGATTGGCTACAATCCATTTCAATTTTCTACCGGACAGGGCGAAGTGGATAATAGCCAATCAGATGTCTCGGCTCGGTTTGTGCTGGGTTGATGAAGAAATGGGAAATTTGAAGAAAATCGACAATAACGTTACTATTAATATCAAGATCACTTTTTTGCATACCATAACGTTATCGCCTGAATCAACAACTGTAGAGAAAGACAAGTTTGAACTTGCCAAATTCGCCGTATTTCAACAACAAGCATGTACATGCGGGTAAGATGCCTCATGCCAGTGAGAGCTGTGCATGCGCAGACCACGCTGCTACAGTAGCCTGGGCTAGTAATGGACTATCTTGTAGTACGAGTAGTATTGCTGTAAGTATTACACAGCTCGAGAAAAGCGAAATCAAAGTTCGTCCATTTTCGAAAAGTCTTATACATGTATGCGCATGTCGACATGTCGTCCAAGTACAACAAAAACATGCCAATAAGAATATTGCATACACAGAAGGAATGACTTATTTATGGAATTCGTAGGGAGATTGCCTACGATTTCATATTTAAAATTATATTGGTTAGCTTCTTTTTTTTTCTTTTGCAGTAAAAGTGCCTATGTTACCTTTTCATATTTGGTTACCTGAAGCACATGTAGAAGCTCCTACAGCGGGTTCTGTTATTTTAGCTGGTATTTTATTAAAATTAGGTTCTTACGGTTTAATTAGATTTTCATTACCTTTATTTCCAAAAGCAACAGTGTTTTTTACTCCTTTAGTTTTTAAATTAAATAATTTTTATTATAAAACTTATAGAGAATTTTTAATACATATTATTGAAAACACTCCTGTACAATGATTGGATAATTCAATCACAAACGATGTTCATCGCGTTTGACAATCAAATGCAGGCTGCATGATACCATTACAATTAACGTTAGTACCATTATGCGACAAGGGAATACCATAGTCATGTAGTACTAACGTTACGGTAATATTTTCGACATCAATGTTGACTTTAAGCATCCATGCCGTCACCACGACCCTGTCCGCTTGTGAGACATCAGTTATCGTCGGACAACTCCAAAGTGATTCGGCACGGAGTAATGCAACGTCATAGTAGCAGTACATACGCTAAGGCCCTCAAAGGTAAACATCCAACCACATGATATTAACGATATTCCTGAAGTAGATTTATGCACTTGAATTGGAGAAATGTAGATGGGCCACTGTCAACAACTTGACCCCGTTAATAGTTCAATACTTGCTTCATAACAGAGATATACTTACGGGACTTGTGCGCTTATGGCCCACACAATAATTTCCATAAAGTCTTGATTCACAAACGCGTCCAGCTCGACTGTCAACAGATCACTTTACACTCTCCCGTAACGATCGCTCCTTCCTACTACGTACTAATACAACGCAGCCTAACTTGCGTACTGCTAACGATACATACCTAGTGCTATCAATGGCATTACTGTACCACTAGGAAGCCTCACATTCCCCCTTGGCATGTGACCTGTACAATAGAGGCCTTGCCTTTCATATCTAATTGGACAAAACAAACTTGTGAAATATGATGGACTGTTCGGATAATTGATTCTCTTTGAATTTATTTCTATGTACGATATTGGGTTACAAAAGTATGTCAGTGTTAGAGTAAGTTGAACTTGATTTTGATTGGCTGGTGCACCCTATCCATAAATTGGCGCATGTCCATAAATTGACTCGTTACGTTTAAGCTTTATGGGGATATAAAATGATCAAAAAATAGATAAAATTTGCAACATATTTTCGAGCTGATTGGTATCACATTATTTGAATGCACACACTAATTCGACGTTGATGACGGTTTCCTGCAATCTGATTGGCTCAATCCTTTTGCCGATTCTTCTGTAACATTACATTTGGTTGTGTCGATTCATTCCCGATGTCGCCCCACTTTAGAATAAACACAACACTATTGTGCATTTCACCCAAATTTGGACTTGCGAGTCATTTCACCAAATAGCATTCGACTCCATTTGACCACATTTAATCTTGAACAAACTATATAATACAACAATTAGTATATATGTGGTTTTGCCCAATGCGGGGCGACTGGGCCGGATCAACCGTTTGGATTGGCAGAAAGTCGACATGACGTGATTTGATTGGCTTAGGCGGTTCTTTAATCCATTCTCTTTTAAGACATTCGATTCTGCTGAGGACTCGAATCGATTTGACAATGCCGGGCAGCTGTACTACCGGTAGGATATATTCCCTTCCAACTAGAACATTTTGACCAATCAGATCATTAGAATTAACAATATATATATTTGAATCCACTATGTCATGAAGGAGTAATAAAAGGCGACATGATGCATCCGGATAAATATCTCAATATCGACAGTGAAAATCAAAAACCACCAAACGATGTCGTCAACCCGACAAGCGGTCGTCTCATGCACGTTTGCAGCATGCTCGAAATGCAGCGAGCCGCTCTTCTCCGACAACTACATTCGGTACGCCCGTCATATCCCAAGCTTCCACCTCTCACCCCATGCAGGAATAACAAAGCCAACGGCGCCAAGGTAGAGTTATGCGTCGCTGCTTCCATTCGTTGACTCATCCCTTGTTCCTTTACAGGTGCTTCGGTACACCACCCTCAGTTCATCTGCTCTCAACAGCCCGAAGACTCGATCCACATGCGACTTTGTAGGTGTTTTCCGCACAAGTGTGTGCAGCCGTCTCCATCTTCGTGTGGCACGTACCTGGTCATGCAAGTGACCGGTACATTTACGTCCGAGGAAGCCGACTCGTTCGTGTCGTTCTCGCGCTTCGAGGCGTACCACGACAACCACTTGGACGTCGGGCAACAGATCTCGTACTCGACCATTGTCGCCAACGCCAAGCGACCCGGCAGGGACATGGGCGTGTGGATGCGCAACGTGTTGGAAGGTCGCCCTCCGCTGGTATTACCGTACTTGTCCCACAGGATGCCACTAATCCATCCTTTATATATATATATATATATATATACTCACAGGGCAAGCCGCCATTGACGTACACGATCAACAAGAACGCGTTGGGCAATCCGTGGCAATATGCGTGGAAAGGCGGCGCGTCCAAGGCCCTGCGCAACACCCAGCACGTGTTCAAGGTACAATATACCTCGAAGCATATATATATTATTGCTATATAGTAGTATATACTACTAGTAGTATTGTTGTGTTTATTCTAAACATGGAGAATAATGAATCGACACAACCAAACGTACTGAAGAATCGGCAAAAGAATTGAGCCAATCAGATTGCAGGAAATCACCATCATCAACGTCAAATTAGTGTGTGACTTCAATTAGTGTGTTGATACCAATCACCACAGGACAACTTTTTACATACAAAATATATCAGTACAAAGAAGATATCGATCGGCGATTCATCACAAAAGTCAGCCAAATTTTGGGTAAAAGGACAATATATACACTGAACAATCTACTTCAATGGTAGGCGTATGTGTTTCATACAATGTTGGAACCTGGTAAAGAGACGCTGCTCCGTGTGCTGGGCGTAGCCACGTCACAGCCATTCACCCTCACATCCCTCCGTCGAGCAACTCCACCTAAATTGACCACCCCGTCACTGGTCGACACTCACCTTGCACGTACAAAAGACATCCCTATATATATATAATAATACATATATATATAATAATACATATATATATAATAATACATATATATATCCTGTAGCCCCCCCCACGACACCACTGTTTGACGTGACCGTGGAATTTGACGGCTGCGACTGCCCCAACGTCCCAACACCGTCGCAGGTGTTTGCCGACACGTACCTCCGGTCCGTCTGTTGTACTTGATGTGTTGCTTTAGAAAATCATGATACATTTATTGTGCATTAGTTCCAACTTTCAGCGTGGTTTGTCTAATCCATACTATCACGCTGGAGTTGTTTTGATTGGTTGAATATACTTGTCCTTTCGAGCCAATCAAATCGAGTTAAAAATGGATTAGCCAATCGCGTCGATTCGTGTGATTCGATTGACGACGACGGGGTCTGGAATTTTGTACCGAATCCACCATAATATATATTTTTATAAAATATGTGAGTTTGGGATGTTGCGTGTAAACTATGTAGAAGCAACAAGTCATCGGGGTCCAAGGTCCTTCGGTACGCCTTGCATATCTCTACAAAATCACACTATCACACCACCACATATACTATCGTTTAACGTGTCGAATTGATGGGGTATTTTCAGGTGCTTTCCACACTGCTGTCCAACACACAAAGGACACAGCAGCTGCGGCGGACCGATTGCAATCACATCATCTGGCCCTTCATTAGCCATCGGCAGCATATCGTCCGTCGAAGTCAAGGCCGTGGCTCGGGTGGAGCGACATCGAGAAGACAGCTACCAAGTGGGCGATATGTGGACTCCACCGTTCAATTCAACCGGACACCAATATCCGGACAACGAAATGGGGCCAAGTGATTGGGTGGCTGGGGTGCGGCGCGTCCCATCGTCGCATGTACGAACCTTCGGCCTTGGTATCCGGATGATCCCGTGACACAGTGTCCCAGGGGGCGGTCTCGTTTGACTTTTACGAGCCAGGCTGGCCATACAATTGGAGGGGAAACGCGAGCAAAGCCTGTCGACACACCCGACACGTGTGGAAGGTCACGAAAAAATGATATTTCTTTGGAATTCATTCCCGTGTTGTTGTAATATATATATATATATATATTGCCCTTTTACACAAAATTTGGAATTTTGTGCTAATTCGCCAAATCCATAGATCGATTTATTGTATTGACTTTTGTATGTAAAATTCGTCCAGTGTCACACTAATTCAAGTCACACACTAATTCGATGTTGAATTTGTCGAAGAATGGGTTTGATTGGCTACTTGATTCGTGATCTGGTTTTGATTGGTCGATATATCGATTGTCTGCCGATTTGGTTATTCTGCTCATTCGATTGAGCACCCCCAAACACTCGAATTTCGAATCGACTTGACAATATATATATACGTGTATTCATCGGATGTTTGATTCCCCTAGGCGATTGTGTTGATGCAACAGCACGACAACAAGTGGATCGTAGTGGGGACGCTGACGTCGCCATCATTTGGGGTGTTGTCGTATCGAAGAAATCACTCCGAGGCGGTTCCAGCGGCGGGTGCTGCGCATGATGAAGCGATCGATCCGACGAGGACGGCGCGGCGGCATCCCCTTCGCATGCAAGACATTTTGGCCTCGGATCTGCCCATTTCAAAGATTCGCCCGCTGCCTGCCGACAAGTAGAGTGGCGAGTCTAACTAAAACAATAGTAACACTTAATTACATAAAATGAAGGAAAGAGTACAACCTACCTACCTACCAGTTGGTCGGACAGGTCCTTGGAATGTGCAAAGCCTAAAAATACAAGTGGCTTCCATGACCAAGTCAAAATTTGTCAAGATGGATTTACACTATTGTAATTCCATTCATACCAATTGCTACCAAGCTAGCCTTGTGCGTCTGTGGCGCATCACTCCGCCACCATTTCGACCCCCTCGATAGACTCGCAAAGTTCCGCGTGTCGGAGTCCGTCAAGCATGAGCTTGGGATCACCCAAGTACTATGAATAGTACGATGTAACGATATTAACATTCCCTCCACCGTAGAATACCCTCCCAACTCAACTCTCCCTGAGGGGGTGCAATCGAATCGCGCCGACCAACCGATCCACAATCGATCTGATTGGTTGAATTTTATTGAGAAGGTTTTTGGCTAATAATTTTGAGGTAGCCAATCAAATCGAATTCAATTCCAACGAGAAAAACCACGCCACAATGAAATTTCACTCGAAAGCACAATATGCACCAGTAAATTATCAATGACCATAGAAGCGGACGAATGTCGTACAGCCCAACCACCGTGTCTCACGTCGTTTACATACTCCTAGTCGTATACATACATATATATATATATAAATTGTTTACGTTCAAAACTCAACCCCTTCCTTGGTCGCTTCATTCACACTTGGACGCGCCATAGTTTGGAACGGTCGTGCGCAGGAGCGGGTCTTCTTGGCGCGATCGGTGGTACCGCCGCCACGCCGCCAGCCCCATCACCATCAGCCCAAAGCCGCCGCATGCCGCGAAAATGGCCGCATCCCACCACGACCATGCACCTGTCTGCGACCATGCGCCGACAGTATCGTCGCCGCCCGAGCAGTCAAACGATGTCGCATGGTTGTTGCACACACACGTCGCGTTGGGTCCGCTCGGGCAAAACCCAAACCCTGAACACGTGAGCGTGATGTACCTACTCATATGAAATGTCCATCATCGTGCAAAAAAGGACCACGTACCCGGCAGTCACGGATTGGCCCATGGCGAGCCAGCACGGATCGATCGACGGCGAGTCGTACGCCGACGCCTGCTCCAGCTGCTGCATGTCAGTCTTCTTGGTCCCGTCATCCGGCGGGCGAATCGGCGGAAATCGCACGTTCGAGTAGTACGCCGCCGGACTCGTCAAGCACCCACTGTCGTTGCCGTCCTCGGCGCAGTTGAATGCTGGCAAGTCTCCTATACATTCCTTCTTCAAAGCCCACTTGCCTAAGTCGGTCACGTACCCACAGTGCCACAGATAGCCCCGTCTAGCTTTTGGTACAGTTGCTCCATGCGAATATCCATCCAGTTGGCCCGCTCCAGCAAAATCGCTTGCAAAAATGACACTTGATCCACATATGTGCCCTGGTTGCTCCTGCTCACACTCGCGCAGCTGTCTTGGCGGCTCATCCAGTCGTTGCACTTGGCCAAATTTCGCTGCAATGGCGACGCCGACGCTTGGACAAATGTCACCACCGCCATATCACTCCACACACTTTGTCGAAGCGCTTTCCACTACATATATATGTATATATCAAAGCAACCCTTGCAACTGTCCCATATCTCATTTATCATATATATATATATATATATATACATGTATCTACACAATACTATATCAAAGCAACCATTGCTTTGATATATAAGTTTCCAATATCTCCATGTTTATAATATACATAGATATATACACAATAATATATCAAATCGATATATATATGTCTAAACAATACTATATCCATCGCAGCCAATCATTCCAACGGCCAATCTCTCATGTATAGTCTATATATATATATATATATGACTATACATGCACATGGCTCGATTCAGTATTGGCACTCAAAAGTCTCCGTCAACGATACTACAACTGTACACCATCTCAATAAAAGATCTATACATACACATCTACTGGTACATATATACAACCAATCACACACATCAACCTCTCGGCCCCATATCTCATACAAATATATATATATATATATATATATATATACCCGTGCAATGGCCAGGTTGGCAAACTCAAAGTTGCACACCAGACGTCTCCACGCCGGGTGTGCCAAGTACAGCCACGTGTCCGCATGCGCGTGCGACCCCAGCCCATATGCGAGATTGAGGTCCCACACGGGCCCAGCCTCGATGGGGCGCTGGCGGTCCTTGAAAAAGTAGGCGCTTTTCGCGTACGCGTCCTGGTTTAAGCTCCACTCCGTGTGCAAAAAGTAGTCGACGAACGATCCCACGTCAATGTGCTGCTTCAGCGCCAGTGGCGACGTCATGTTGTGCCACAAGTACCTATAAACACAAATCATTGCATTTGGAAATATCACGTGAAATACACATATCCACCACCCTACAACCCTACTACTGTATCTAGTATTAACTATAACGAAATGAGCCTCGCAAAACTGGTATCGACGGTACGAAAAATCAAGGTTCATCGTGCCATGTGTTCAAGAGTATATATTTTTTATCATTTTTCCAACAATATACACAAATAACACACATTGTTCACAAATCAATCCAAAAACCCACAAATCCTCTGTTCCAGGTTGACATTTCAAAATTCGCATGTCCCAAGTTACTGGCGACATTTGCATTTCATTGGCTGTAATTCTTCAATTTCTATCAATATCGAACATTTATGACATTTCATTGGCTTATAAATTATAAACCAATCTTTTGCGAAAATTCATGCAATTCCCTTTCAAAGTATCATTCGCCCAAATTGAGTGAGGGCTCGATTGTCTGTGTCAATTCAAAGTAAATGTCGGCAGTAACCTGGAACAGAGGAAGAATATATCACTAGTAGCGTCCAAATGGACACAACGACCCAACCTTGTACGGATAAAAAGAATGTAACCGGAAAAATGACTGACAAATCACGTGCTCATTGCGACGCAACGACGTCTGTACCGATAGTATTGCGGTAAAAACCCCGTCGAGACGTTCACAAACTCATCACGCATGCGCTGGGACAGCGTCGGACCCGGTGGGTACATGAGCAACGGTCGTGCGCCCATCCCAAATTTGCCTACCAAACAATAAAGAGAATTTTAAAAAAATATTGTGAATTCGCTATATATTATTGCAAAATTATTTGCGTGGTTTGTGTAATCAATATTGAATCACGCCAAAGTTCGGATTGGTTGAATATACTGCAAGAGCCAATCAAATATATCCACTCAAAATGGATTAGCCAATAGCGAGATATTCGATTCGGCGGCAAGATACATTCGATTCGACGGGGTCTGGAAATTCATATCGAATATACCACAATATAAAAGAGAGACAAACAACCTACCATGGTACATGTCCAAGACAACGTTGGGCGAGTAAGTGCCGTATTTAAGCGGATTGTACTGCCACGCCCAGCCCCCGGAATGATCCGAGTCCGCGGCCACATTCAGAGCCAACCCGACACGGTTGGGGCCGTAGCTGATGGTTTCCAAGAGCAAATAGTAGCCATGGTAGATGGGCACGCCGTTGGGGTCGGCAATGTACAGTGCCACATGCTGGGAGCGAGGAGAATAGCTACATCCACAACACGTTAGTGCCCAAACGAAGGAAGAAGGATCGAGTACCGTCCCGTGCCGCGGTACAGCCAGTGCGCGAGGTGGTTGCGCATCATGCTGCCGTCGATGAACGGACCGTGCAGCGCCCAATTCGTGTCCGCAGGCATGACCAGGAGAGGCGTGGGGACGTCAAACATGAGCAGGTACTGGTGCTTGGTGAAGCGGAGCGACGAGTCGCCGCGGTATCGCACGCGCAACGACATGTTCGCCGTGGTCGACGTCGTGGGGTCGTGCAAGCATGTCCATTCGTCGGTGGGATGTTGGAGCACACGCAATGTCGCCGACACCGTGGCCTTGATGCAATCTTCCGATGGCAGTGGCGGTTGGACGCAGTCAAGGGTGGGAAGGGGCGGTGAAGGATGCAGTACAAGGATGGGCATGAGGTAGCATTGGGGATCCAACGACGGCGGGGGCGCCACCGCCGTGGCATTCACCGCGACGGGCGAGGTGGACAACGGCGTCGTCGCATGCACAAGCGCGCTCGCCACCGACAGGAACGCCGCAGTCACTAGACATGGCCGCATCGGATTCAAACGTGGCAAGCGGAAATGAGTACATGCACGAAACCGGTTAATGTATCCGGATACCATTCCGACGGAAACTGTCCCAACGGAATTCGGAATTCTTGATGGAACAAGACGTCGCAGGCGAAGAAGCATGTGACGGGATCGTACCCGAGACATGTACACGAGAAGCGGGGTCGGAGACGACTGCCTTGGCATCACTACATACCGGTCGCTGTATCCAGACAAGACGATGGCGCTGCCCTGAAACAGAGGTTCGCACTCCATCATCGCATTGGACGCGCCATCAGAACTCGGCGTTGCTGTTAGTTCCTCGACACTTGTACTTCCATTATGATTGTATATCATCCCCATACCAGTAGAAGAGAACGAGCTGCAATTGATTATTCATCATGTTTAGATGCTTGCTACCAGTCCCACAGCATTGTCATGAGGTGCTAGTCTACTGCAAGAGCAAGTCCGCGTGGTTGTTCAAATGCTCTTCGATGAACGTCGAGATGAAGTAGTAGCCGTGATCGTAGCCGTCCAGCATCCGCAGCGTCAGGGGCTGCCCCACCTTTTGGCACGCCGCCTAAGATGCCATCACTTGGAGTTCAGATCCCATCACAACGGCGGGATGCTACCTCGAACGCTTCGGGGAGGAGTTGCTTCTCCTGTAACCACTGGTCGTCCGTGCCTTGGTCCACCCAGATGTGGAGCCCAGGGACCGCCCCCTTCTCCAGCACGAGCAGCGTTGCGTCGTAGTTCTAACGATCAAATATCGTCAACATTGAGGCAATAATATGTATATTCTCAAATCGAACAAATACTGGAAGCGCACCTTCCACGTGGCCTGGTCCGTCCCGAGGTACCCCGTGAACGCCTTGATACCCCAAGGGCATTGGGTGGGGTGGGCAATTGGAGCAAAGGCGGACACGGCCTTGTACAGTTCCTGACAAGAAAATCAGGTCATGTTTACAGCTTGGATAGATGGGACGCACCGGGTTGCGCAGGGCGAGGGTCAACGCACCGTGGCCTCCCATCGAGTGGCCCATGATGGACGCTTTGTCGCTCAAAATGGGCAGGTTGGCGTTCACGATCGACGGAAGTTCCTTTGTCACGTACGAATACATGTTGTAGTGGGCCGACCATTTGGGTTCCGTGGCGTCCACGTAAAAGCCGGCGGCTGTAACAAGGGTCAGAACGTCTTCGACGACAACAAAAGGCGTACGTACCCGAGCCAAAGTCCCACGCATCGTCGGCACCTTCGATGTCGACTCCACGGGGACTCGTGTCCGGAGTGACAATGGCGATACCTCGCGCCGCGGCAATGCGTTGGGCACCCGCCTTGATTTGCATCAATTCGTCGTTGCACGTGAGGCCCGCGAGGAAGTACACGACCGGCACCTTCTGCGTCTCGGACGCGTTGGGGGGAAGGAACACACAGAACTGCATGGTGCTGCGGGTGGTAGCGCTCTCATGGGAGAACTGCTTGACGACCCCACCAAAGCAGCGCGATTGCTTGATCAACTTGAGTGCCATGGACGAACTCGAACGAATGTTTCAAAATGACATCGAAAGTCTGGTCAAATATACCGACGTGTATTTCCCAAGCGTTTTATAGCAATCATATTAATAATACCTCCAGTCGGAAATAAACCAGCCATTTGGTGAAAATTGGTAAAATTGGTGTTTTGTTTGATGGTGTTATCTGATTTTGCCCTAAGTATGCTTGTTGTATACGTCTTAGTATGGCCAGTATCCCTGTGGAATATAATACCTTAAACATGAATACCCTAATGGATAAGTGGGTTCTACGCTATGAGTGTTGGTGGCTTACATGCATTCTACCTGCATCAACCAATAGTCAGCAACATTTTTAAACTATGTTTTGTACAGAATATAAATTACTGCAGGTGTATAATATAATCAGTATCAAATCGTGACAGATATCCGGATACATGTTTTCGGTCTCTATAACATAATTTATTCCGGTAAATTCTGAAAAAACCTCCAAGAATGAAATGGCTGGTTTATTTCCGGCCGGAGGTAGTATATCCCACTACACACGGGCTAAACTTGGTAAATCCCATGCGACGCGTTATACTTTTCCTAGTATTAATACAATTTGCCTTTACTGTTATCATTACGACCTATTAATAGTAGTATATACTACTTCGAAAGTACGTATTACTCCGGAGTACTATTTTAATAGTACTCCGGAGTAATTAATATTTCAAGTAGTATTAAAATACTACTTGAAATAACTATGAGTAATCTTTACTATTAATAGTAATTAATCTATACTTCTCGGAGTTCCGGTACTGTAGCACCAACTAGCACCTCCGTCATCTTAGGCCACCACGGGAATTGATTGCTACTGCTTCGAATGTATTACTATTTCAAATTGATTCTCATCTCGTCTGGCAACTTGAGCAAGGGATTGTTGGGAAGGTTACTATTACTGTGTTAGAGTTTTTGCGTGGAGTTCAAAAAGCAAACTCAAAGCCAATACAAATTAACAGTCGAAAGAAATATCCCAGTATATATATAAGTATATGAGTTATCGGGGACTCATCTGCCGCAAGTATGTGCGGTCAATTATCCGAGCCATGGCTAGGACATCTTCGATTAAGTCGAATATTTGGCAGGAAAGGCGGCGAAACGAACGACGTCGGCATGGCAAGTGTCTTGCACTCGAATGGATTGGGGGCACGGGATAACTTGCGCAGGTCCGAAGTAAGGGTCCTCCCCTGGCTTGGTCGTGGCATTAAGAGTCTTGGCAAAGCACACCGACACTTTGTCTAGAAAAGAATGGGAATCACACGACAACACAATGTCGTTCCATCCAAGCGGCGCCGCTTGGAAGATGGCGCGGACGTCGGACGTCTTGGCCTCGTGGCCGACATGATCCGCTACGAACGGGAGGCGTTCGCTGCTGACCTTGGTGCCGAGCGCGACCATCTCGCGGAGGTATTGCACTTGATGCATGCCACTGCACGTCCAGTCGAACGTCGGCGTAGAGCCCGTGTACCCCCCGTCCCACATGTTACCCACGTCGGTGGCAAGGAGGAACGGCCAGTACTGCTGCAGCGTGTTCGCGCCACCCGCCGCGGCGATGCTCGATGGAAGGAACTCTCCGTATTCGTACCGACAGATTCCAGTTTGAGCCGTGCCGTCGGTGTACGTGGGTATGAGCGTACTGGACACGAGCGACGTACGCATGGAAGAAGTGGGAGAGGCGCAGAGCGCCACGTCGGTTGTCGTGCATACGTGAGGCGCCCACACAGCCGTGTACACCCACAAGTCGTGATCGCCAAAGCCAGATCGATCAATCTGCGCAGCGTGCGTCGCCACAGCAACTGCCGATACACCCAGCCACGTCGGTGCCTTCATCTTGGAGAAAAATAGTGTGAATGTTCTGTTGGAAAAGCAAGAGTGAAATTTCGAAACGGCGGCAGTTGCAAGAGTATCCGTATAAACACGCCAAAGTGCTGGTACATATGTAAGAATGGTGCTTGGCGCATCACGAAATTTGTAACGTGGATGGGCCGATTTATGTTTCTTGATTATTTCCATCAGTTTTTCTGTTATACGTATGATACATACATTGTTGGAAAGGTTATTTCAAGCACTTTTACCTAAGTATTGTGCTTTTCATCCAATTTGCCCATTGTTTTTTGTCGCACTAATCAATGGATGACAAAATTAAAACCACACGTTAAACAACGTAAATCGAGAGTCTGGCACATGAGCTAAATAAAGACAGGTCGTTATTTACTGGACCATCTCACGCGCAAAGTGGACGAGACCAACATGCAGCGCGATCGATTGAACGTCGCGTTCCCATCGTGTTGAATCTTGTTCCGCTACGTCGTGAGAGTCCAAGTATCAGGCGAACGATGTCAACTTCAATGCCATAAACTTGGAAAGCACAACACATCTCCAATGCATGTCGATGATGCTGATCATTGTAAAACAAGTTGAATAGGATAAAACCGTGCACCCACCAATTCTTAGCCAATCAAAGCATCACGAATAGTTATAATTCAACGCATCCGTAAAATCACGGCTGCCGTAATTATAGGATGAGTTTTTATTAACTGTAAAGCATGGTTTTAGACCTGGATTAGCCAAAAAAAGTGAAAAGCACAATACTCCCAACAATAATGATAGATTTAAACAGTGTCAAGCTGGCAAAATTAATTTCGCAAACATGTCACTTTACACTAATATCGACCATTGATGTGCCGATATTTATACTTGAAGCAAGATGGGTGATACTTATTCGACGAACAGCATAAAATTAAATTATAAAGGTTTATTACATTGTGTGAGGTATAATATATTGAGAGTTTGTACTGTTGTTCCAAAGCAGTACTTTTTCCCTCCATCATACTACTCCGTCCCAAATTACCTCCACGTTTCAACTTCGACTCACCTCAAAATTTGACTCATTTACCCAATTTCTACGAAATTTGTACCAATAAGAAGCTGGGAATTCGGTGTTTTGCTTGCTCATATCTATATTACAGGTTTGTTGGATAATGTACAGTACACACTATCATCAAAATAATATTGCTCCTCAGCGCAGAATTAACTGTAAAATCACTCACCGGACTTGATTAATGTAACAAACAATAAGCATGCATATACAGAGGTAAAATAAACGCTATAATATAATTATCCTATATAAGTACTCATCGCCTGGTTTCTGCTCGAGTCAGGCAGACATCCCTGCCGTAACCATGGTGTCAGTCCTCGTCCTCTATATGGACAATGCTCATGTAAAAAGTTTAGGCCAATTGGCTCGACCACTTGCTTGTTCACAAGAGGCAATTCACTCTATACAAAGATCATCAGTCTGATTTAGGACAAATTTAAATAAATCCTAGAAATAAATACGATTTTGCGCCAAAGCTTGAGGGAAACGTGGAGGACAGATTAGTACTTCGTATTTCACAAGTTCAATTTGACAAGAGGTTTTGTTATGTCCAATTAGATATGAAAGGCAATCCTATCGGTTAATTGAGTTTGGATTATCATTTTTAAGACATTCCTCCGCGAGGGCCGACACTAGAACCACATGTTATGGAACCCCTTCGCCAATTGTAACGCAATCCTATCGGTAGAAACATGCTGGCCGATCAATGAACAATCTGCACATCAATGGTCGACCACGTAAAGTGAACAAGAGTTCTCTACAGCAACTGTCGATACACCCAGCCACGTCGGTCGATGCCTTCATAAAAATAGTACTCCGTTGGAAAAGCCAGCGTGAAATTTCCAAACGGCGGCAGTTACAAGGGTATCAGTATAAACACGCCTCTGTGCTAGTGTGCTGGTAGGAATTTGGAAAGGTGCTTCGCGCATCACGAAATTTGTAAGACAACAAGAGGTCTCTACAGCAACTGTCGATACATCCAGCCACGTCGGTGTATTCATAAAAATAGTACTCCGGAGTATGAACCTTCTGTTGGAAAAGCAAGCGTGAAATTTCGAATTGGCAGCAGTTACAAGGATATCAGTATAAACACGCCGCTGCGCTAGTGTGGTGGTAGGAATTAGGAAAGGTGCTTCGCGCATCACGAAATTTTTGAGTGAACAAGGGGGCTGTCTCTACAGCAACAGTCGATACATCCAGCCACATCGGTGCATTCATAAAAATAGTACTCCGGAATATGAACCTTCTGTTGGAAAAGCAAGGGTGAAATTTCGAAACGGCGGCAGTTACAGGGGTAACGTTATCAGTATATACACGCCGCTGCACCATTGCTGGTAGTAATTCTGCTAGTAGTGAATTGGAAATGATCCTTACACTTCGAAGTACTTCGTAATTCGGAGCATAAATCTCAGTTGGTTGTCGGGGTTCCAGTAATATCGTTACGTAGAATATATATATATTTGATGAGCACAATCGGATTCGACATCGCTTACACTATGGAAGGCAATTCAATCAATATGGAAGTGATTGCGAATCTCTTGAGTTGGGTTCTTTGAGTTCTGTGTAAATTGAATTAGTGTGATTCTGCATTCAGTGTTGGGTTAAATGTATAGTCGTCGACGAAGGGCTTAGTGTAAGGCTGCGCAACTACTATTAACATTCACACAAACTCAAATATTCTGTTAATGTATTTCAAAGCACAAAGTAATACGTCACACTACAGCCCCCCGCCCGCCCCTCAAATCAAGTGCATCGCTACTATATGTATGAACAAATATGAAGTTGGGATTGGGGCTGTGTTCAGTTGGTAAACAATTTATATACTACGTAGTAGTTGGCGATGTGTGGCATAATGTCGGCCAGGCGTAGGAAGAGATAGTGTTAGGTGATTGTGGGTGAGGAAGTTACATGCGACCTCCATAGCATGTTGCGCATTACGCTAGTGTAATAGTCACGATGTCAATTCTCCAGGATATCGAAACTTCGAACCTTATTAACTTTGGGGGATGATGCTATTAACTGTAAAAACTGCCAGCATATATGTTAATGGTGATAGGATTCGATGCTGCGAGGTCTGTACGTTGATTTGCTGTGTAATTGCGCGATGAATACATATTTACCTCCCTCAAACTACAGTCTAGGATTCAATGCAGTTATGGGGAAGGACTTTGAAATGTAAAAGGGGTGGTGCAACTACGAGTCAATCTATCCCAGCTAACGTTACACCTTAAATCAGCACCCCCAAACTTAAATGTCGAATATTAGTATTGTGTGCAGTACCAGCCCCCTTCACTCATAGCTACATGTACTGCAGTTGTTCACCTATGAACGATAATTTTCGTTTAAGAATCTCGTAGAATGCTCAATCATGACTATCGTATGTCGCTAGAAAACACATACGCCTTGCATCTCCTGTCGATGGAACGGGAAGTCATCAAGGCTTCAAACTATATATTCACAACAACAACAAATCAAGTGAAGCTATAGTTTTCGGGAAATAATATCGTACTATGTAGTAGTATACTTCACATTTGTCGAGTAATATACAGTACAATCATAGACTAAATTTCTGTACACTAGTGTGGTAAAGGGCAGAGGCAACCACCCGTCGGCTGAAACGAGTGGCCATGACCAAAACTACAAATGCTACAGCAATCTAACCCTCAAATAATGCAAGCCATATCTTTATTGGAGCAACTGAACTAACTGTACTAGCAGAGCTGCTCGCTCTCAGGAAATCACTGCAATAAATAAATTTGTCATAACGTTACTAGTGTTCAAGTATCGCACATTCATTGTTTGCAATTTGATTGTGCATGTGAACACTAGTAACGTTATGACAAATTTATTTATTCGCAAAGTGCAACAATGCTCATCAATGAGAAATGACGCCGTTGATCCGACACATCAAAATGACAAATTAATAAGGTAACCAACGCTACAAGGACAATACATTGTACCAAGTCTTTAATTTCGTAGCGTTGCGTGTCAATAAATGGGATCTTTCCAAGTGCTGAAATTCACATCTTCATGGCTGTCACTACTTTAGCTAACGTTAATCAGATGTGATTACACTAGCTAGAAAATGTTAGCTACGCAGCTAGCTACAGTACAAGAGTGCAGCTGCAATACTATTGGCTTGTATCTAGCCACAATAACTACTAACGTTAAGTTTAGTACTTCGAAGTAGTTAGTATTTATCTGCTCAATTGTGGCAGGGATTCAACAGAGTTGTATACTCTGTTCCATATCTTTTGCAGCATTTCATTTTATTTTACTTTTTAACTCATTGTTTGTATGCAACTGCAATTTTAATACACACTTGTAGTTTGTATACCTATCATAGAAATAGTATAATAAATTTGGTCTTAAATATTAAGGATGAAAACCCAGGAACTTGGACGCCTTTGTCGACACTTTTGCAGGACGAGTTAACCCATTCAAGCCATGCCAACACTGTGGCCTTACTAGAGGTCATCTTGATCTCTGGTAACATGGGAAGCTAATGATAGGCACTTAATATACGCAAATGCTCAAAATACGGCCTCCACTCGAATCACAAACTTGGGGCGACCTCAGGAGCACATTTGGATGCCTCAATGAGCTGCGAGTGGATGGGGTGAGTAAGGACATCACACGAGCATACAGACTTAAGCTTACAAAAATACAATCACTGTCGACTGCGCACCGCAACATTTTCTGATTTGAAAAATAAGGTCATGGGAGCACATTTGGATGCCTCGATGAGCTGCGAGTGGATGGGGTGAGTAAGGACATCACACGAGCATACAGTCTTAAGCTTACAAAAGTGCAATCACTGTCGACTGCGCACCGTAACATTTTCTGATTTGAAAAATAAGGTCATAAAGTTTAGGTCTGACGGCTTAACTACTTTGACTTTTCCGGAACATGAGGTATCAAATCAAAGCTGGAATGTGTATCTATCGAATGAGCCAATCCGCTTGCGATTACGAGGAGAAATGCAAAATTTAGTCCAATCAGAAGTCAAGTGCTGCAATCATTATGGAACTGTACAGTAGATACCTTGTTTATTAACATTATTAGGATTGTACTTTTCGTAGCAAGCAAAGTACGTGAACATTGACAAGGTGGCCACTATGACTACTCCCTCACCAGCACCAACAAGCCCCCCAGACCGCCAAACGCCCTTGAGAACAAGATCGTGTTCCCCGCGGCCATCTTGTAGGCGCCGTTCTTCAACGACCGCTTCGACGCGGCCCAGAACTTTGGGGTCATCGGCGTGGTCATCGGCCACGAAAACTCCCACGGGTTCGACAGCAGCGGCCGCAACTTTGACGGCGACGGCAATCAAAGCCGTGGTGGAGCGCAGACGTCGGCGCTGCCTTCATCAAGAAGGCGCAGTGCACCACCGACCAGTACATTGCCATGGAGGTGGTGACCAGCCATGTGACTGGCGCCGTGATGGGCAAGGTCGATGGCTGACTCACGCTGGGCGGTGAAACCATCGCTGACAACGGGGGGCTCCAGGCGTTCCAGCAGTACGCCAAGACGACGCAGTCCTGGTACACGACCCACACGGGCAATAAGACGTACTTTTTGGCGTATGGCCTAGCGAGGGGCGAAAAGAAGAAGACGGTCGCGGCACTCAAGGCCAACCTCGTCCTGGACGTCCACCCGCCCGGCAAGTAGCGCGTCGTGGGGGGCATCCAAAACCATGACGAGTTTGTTTGCCCGCGTGTTTCAATGCAAACCCGACACGGCCATGAACCCGACTAACAAGTGCTACATTTCGGAGTAAATTAGGGAACTGTAGTCTGTATATGACTGTTAACGTTATGAAAAGTTTGTTTTGGAATAAATGACGTTAGTGATGGGATGCACAACATGTGTACGTCGAAGTTCGGTACTCGACCCCAGCTAGTACTTAATCGTACATTTCTGTATTTTAATAGCCTGTCATTCGAAGGGGGTTGCCCCAGGGTGCAATGAAGGCGGGATGCTGGACCATCACCCAAGCATTGCTAGGCCAACCCATAGTTGCAGCCCGACCTGTGCGTAACTCTCACATTCGGCTTGAACCGTCCGATGCACACATCCCTGTCGATCCCCCTACCGACAAGTTTGCCTGGCCCTTTCAAAGTTCTTTCCTTTGGCCCACGACGTGGCCACTCATTCGAAAGGGCGCCGTGATTTTTGCGACGTCGGGCTGCTCAGTGGGTCCGTCAGCGACGCCTGGTCCGGAGGGGGGGCAGTATGCCGGTCGCATTGTGTGGGGGCTGCCCGAATCTCACGTTGGGACCTGCCACCATATTTTGCTGTGTCGACATGATCCACAGACGCATATGCACACACGAGGAGTTTGATCGCCCAACTCGCGACTATCGATACAGCAGTACAGGTAATGTTGCGTGGACATTTGCTCACTGGACTGCCGTCAACACGGGGTAATCCCGTGCAGACAAATGGCACGAACGCGGCGCGAGGTTTAGGCAAACCCGACACATCTGTCGAGTACACTGGTTCTCCTGCCGACTCGTAACGAAAAATAAGATACCGTACGTCGCTGACGGACCCACACTTCGCAACGCAACGCGATTGTGGGCCTGTTGTGCAGCCCGACGTCGCTAAAGTCACGACCCCCTTTCGAGTTCGTGGGCATGTTTACCTCGTCCAAAGAAACGTAACGCGTCGACCCACTTGCACACGACCGTTAATTCCGTTGGTAGGGAAATTGGCATAAAAGAGTGCTGCGTGGGGGGGGTCAATTGTGGGTGCATCGAAGGTACAGGTCCAATGTCAATGCACCAGCACGTACATGTTGGGCTGGATGGCCTACCAATGCTCGGGGGTGTCGCCTAGCGTCAGCATTCTGTGAATTACACCCAGGTGGAAATCCTCTTTCATAAAGGATATGGAAAGGAAGCTACTAGTATACAATTCCCTCGCTCTGGAGGAGAAAGGCTAGAGTGACAAGAATGACAATCTCAGCAAGAAGAAGGTAGCATACTGAAGTCATCTGCACAAGTCCAACCAGATGATCATGATGGGAAAACGGATGGTCAACAAGCAAAATAAGGTGCTGAACTGAAGGATCGACGGAATAACCCCAGCATCAGTCTCCCCCCGACCCATCTGGTTCATAACGGCATGGGGGCAACCACGATCTGGAAGAGTCATGTCGGCCGGTCTACCTCGCCCAAACGTCAACGGACGATTCGTTCCCAAGTTCCTTGGCCATACTTCACATCCTTTTATGAATCCTGTGGCAGCCCCAGTAGGTCGAGGCCTCAGGTCGATCCGTTTGATTGCACCCTCGAAGGTTGTCGGTCGCTGGCGGTTAGTCGCGTGTGTCTGCGGCGTAGGAAAACCAACAATGACGCTCGCGCTGAAGCCCCTTACGACATTGGCATCGCCCGTTGTCGTCGACGTCGTCTCGCGCGCTAATTAAACAGAAATGTATCACATACAGACGACAATAATGGCCTACGCGATTTGCCCGTTAAACGCTGCATCTGGACATGCCATTGTTCAAGGGCAGGCCCCCAGGGGGCTTGGGATACTGTACCAAATCCAAGTCGAAACCAATATTCTACGTAGTACATGCCGTTGTAGGGAGTTATAATTGGCTTGAAGTAGACGTATTTCTGATCTCGTAGTGGCATTTCAGGTCCATGACGATACACTGTAGTGTGAGGCTTCATTTTTCTCCGAAAATTTCAATAGGGGGAGTCAATTTAGGAAAAAAAATCAATTTTCATTTTCGATTCTACTTTTTCACTCTCTGCTGCTGTCTCGGACGCGAAGTCTACTGTAACGTTGTTTATGTAAGCTTACGGTTATTAATAATTACAGTAACCTTACTCCAGCAAGTTACACCGTTTAAAGGAATGCCCTAATTGCATCATCGACTCGCTGGATTTCGCCGCCATGATTGACTTTGAATGACAAAATCCAATGCCTGTGTAAGTGTACTCCACTGAGATACGTTTTGGTACGTTTTTTACACCTCAAAGCACTCAGGCGCTGTGTGAAGGCCCAGTTGCCTCGTACAGATTTCACGGTTCTGGTTTGTGAATAATGGCTCTAAACTCAGATTTGTAAACAAGGGGTCGAAAATTCAACTACTAGTAGTTTGTTTCCAGTCAGATTTGTAAAAGGATGTAAAAATAGCAACCTGTTGGTTGCGCTGGATACCATGTGTCGAGTAATAAGCAATGGTCGAGCGTTAGCCCCATACTACTGCACTGTGTGTATGGTGATCGTACTGAATCTCCATCACAACCAACCATCCAACGTCCGTTTTTGTTGACATTTTGAGACGTTTTTGAATCTGCTCTCGCGTGGTGCATTGGGCCGACTGGGACATGCATCCATTAATATTACGGAGCTACTGGTATTGAAATGATGAACTAACAGTCGACTCTATTAACCAAAGGTTATACTCTCGGCTAGCAAGGACCCACGATCGAAAGGGGTCAAGCTTCGCCTCGATGGCCAACAACATCTCAAACATCTCAAGCATACTCCGGAGTACTTGGCCATGACTAGCTATTCAATTCTGTTGCATTTCACAGGTCATATGTTGACGGAAAAACAGAATCCGCGTTCAATTGAGTTGCAGACAAACATGTCGCAACCGTATCCATTCGAATCTTCATATAGATTCAAATCATAATCAAAACGAATCTTCCCAATTTGACACAAATGCTGCCAAGTGAGGTCAGTTTTGAACTTACCTCGGCCATCCCAATGACAACAGTTCAAACGCCGCAAGTCGACTACGAGGACTTTACCAAGGGCCAAAAGATCCACTCGCCCCACTTGATCCTTGCCAACGAAGACGTGGTGGTCGCCCAGCTGGAAGAAGCGGGGTATGTCGAAGACAAGACGTTTGCCGGGTTGCCCATCCACTTGAAGATTTTGTGGGGGCTGTTCTACTTTTGCCTGTCCCTGGCCTCGTTGTACTTTTTCATGGTGGCGGTCAAGGTGATTGGCGAGTCGTTTTCGTTGTTGCTCGGGTGCGAAGCCAAGGCCGCGTTCGAGTTTGCCCACAACCCCATGGCGGGGCTGATTGTGGGGGTGCTGGCCACGGCTATCTTGCACTCGTCTGGCACGGTCACGTCCATCACGGTGGCGCTGGTCGGGGCGAAGGGGATGACAGTGCGCCAAGGGGTGCCCATCATCATGGGGGCCAACATCGGCACATGCATCACGTGCATCATGGTGGCGTTCGCCCAGGTGGGGAAGCGCGACCAATTCGAGCGCGCCATGGCGGCGGCCACGGTGCACGACATGTACAACATTTGGTCGATGCTGATTCTGTTTCCTGTGGAGTTGCTCTTCCACCCGCTGGAGCTGGTGTCGTTGGCCATGGCTGGCGGCAAGACCGAAGGCTTCTTCAAGTCCCCCGTGGACGTGGTGGTCAACCCATTCTCGGACTTGATTATCAAGTCGGACCGGACCATGATTGAAAAGGTGTCGACTGGTGCTGTCAAGTGCCAAGATGCCAAGTTCCTCCGCGACGGCATGTTCTACAACCAAGTCGTCGTGGACAAGTCCATGAGTTCGACCACCGCCGGCGCCATCTGTGCGTCGATTGGGTTCTGCATGCTCGTGTTTTCGCTGGTGTCGTTGGTGCACATGCTGTCCAAGCTGTTCCGAGGGTCCGCCCAAAAGGCCATTCGAAGGATGCTCAATTTCAACCCGTACCTGAACATCCTCATCGGGACTGCCATCACGTTTGTCGTGCATTCGTCCACGGTGGTTACGTCGACGCTGACCCCCATGGCTGGCTTGGACTTGGTCACGCTCGAGCAAGTGTACCCGATTGTCATGGGCGCCAACCTCGGCACGACCGTCACGGCTCTGCTGGCGTCGTGGGTGACGGGGTCCCCCGATGCGGTCGCGATGGCGTTGGTGCACTTTTGGTTCAACACGTGGGGGATCCTGCTCTTTTTCCCCATCCCTATCACCCGCTACCCCATCCTGCAATGGGCTCGTCGGCTGGCTTACTACAGTGCGCGTTGGCCCGTCGTTGCGGTGGTGTTTCTGTTGATCTTCTTCATTGTGGCGCCTGGGCTTCTCTTGGGCTTGACCTACATGTTCAGCGGCAACACGGTTTCGTTTGTGTTTGGCGTGGTTCTTGCCACCGCCTCTGTGCTGTTTGTGCTGGGGTTTTACTGGTGGTACTTCAAGAAGGGCGGCCGAGCCAAGTGGCATGCATTCTTGGAAAAGAAAGCCGAGTTACACCGAGGGAAGCAAGGCGCCATCGAATCTGCTGCATAGAGTTTTTAGTTGCCCGTGGAACCTGCTTGGTTTTAAAATTTAGTTATTATTTTTACATTTATGATGGCTTTGCCGCGAGATGACAGTAACGTTATAATAGAAACGTTATCGTTACACTGTAATCCCGGTTGATTGCTCTGTATTAGGGGTTTCGGGGATTCGGAATAGCCTTTCTGCTAAGAAATCGCTTGTGAAGCTCGGGAAGGCTGATAGAATTACAAGCTGATAGGTGTGCAATCGTTTACTAGGACTACTCCGAATACTATTTTAGATTCGATATACTTAGATGTACTATATGGTAGAATGTCTGCATTTAAAATTACTACAAGCAAGTATAAAGTACAGACTTGTTGACGAATGGGAACGGAGAGTTGCCCATCGATGTCGGCCGACCTGTGGCGTAACGTTATGTTACAGTTAAATGCAATTTGTAGCCATGGCCGACATGCAAGCCCTCCACGTGGCCTTGATCTAGTACAGGGATCTACCGAACTTTAGGTCTATCGAAGTTGCACGGTAGTTATACCCAATCAAATAATTTCTTGTGATACGATGCTGTGATTGGTCAAATTTTTAGTCTCCCGCCAAACTTGCAATTCAAAAAAATACTGACCCCACTTTGCGGGGCAATCAAAATGACACGCATCACGTACCCCATCGCGTTCAAGCTCGAAGCTTTGAAACTCCTTGAGACCTTGTCCGACTATAAGGTAGCTGCGCTCCTTAACGTCGCTCGCAGGGCTCTCCGCTACTGGCAAAAGCAGCGCAACGAGCTCCTTGCCTACAAAGGCAACAAGAAGCGCCTTAAGGTGCGTCCAGGAGGCCGACCCGAACAGTTCCCGGACCCGCCAGGCCTAGTCCAATACATCAACGACTTGCGTGACGCTGAGCGTGCACATGCCTTCGGCATAACGTTACAATACCTGTACTTCGGCACAATCCATGGCAATGGGAAAATAGCTCAGTGGTAGAGCATCGGTTTCTTAACTCAAGGGTCGTCGATTCGATCCCCGGCTTCCCCGGATTACATGTATTTCTGCAAGGATTTATCCGTCCCTCCTCTGGGGAATCCGGATCGGTCGAAGCACGAGGTATGAAGCGTTGAGCGAAGTAAAAACCGAAGATGCACGCACGTTACAATTGGCGAAGCGGTTCCACAACATGTGGTTCTAGTATTGGCCCTAGCGGAGGAATGTCTTAAAAAGTACAATTCCCTCATTAAAACAGTTCCACTGTTGCTTTGACCCGAAATACTGTTTCAATGAGGTATATATGGAACTGTGTATAATCAGACCACCTCACCTCTTACTAGGGGTTAAGTACATCTCAGTGGTTAGCTACCGCTAACCACTGGCGATGCAGTTAACCCCGGAGATTTAGCATCGTATGTATTCACCGGGGGTCCCAGGTTACAGGGCTACTGGCGAAAAGGTGTATCCGGATGTAATAAATCCCTCATTGACAGTGAAACAGTATTTCGGGTCAAAACAACAGTAACGTTAGAACTGTTTTACAGTTAATGAGGAAATTATTCTCTTAAAAATGATAATCCAAACTCAATTAACCATGGCAATGGTGCGATCGACTGTTTCGATCCCCGCGATACGACGTATGGACTCTGGAGTTAGGCGTATGCGTTCGACTAGGCCGTCGGGTATCGAAAAGTCATCTCCGGTCAGGGGGATGACGTCCGCCTCCTTCCCTGGATTGGATGCTCCATGGACACGCCAGAAGTACAAATCCACACTTTATATATTTCACCTAGTAGTACTAGGCTATGTAGTATGCCGTGAGGGGGTGCAATGCATCACGGGGGGGCAATGATCAGTATTGGGGTTCTTGTTGCCGTGTACACCATTTGAGGCGGGGCAACATTGAAGGGCTTAACGCTACTGGATCGAGTGACGGGGATTGTGTGAATAGGTCGCCGTTGCTATTTCTACCAAGAGTCGCAACGCTATGTTTATTAATGAGAACGTCCGCGGGGGCGATGCTCAATGTTGGCGTTCTTGTTGCCATGTATACCATTTGAGCCGGGGCAATATTGAAGGGCTTGTAACTACTGGAATGTCTGTTCGAGTGATGGGGATTGTGTGGATAGGTCGCTGTGTTTATTAATGAGAACGTCCGTAATATAACTGACTATAGTGGTGTGCTGTTTGTCGAGTCACAACTCTCTTCTCTTAGAGTACAGTTAATACACAGCCGCCTTAGGAATGGGCGACTTCACATGGCTGGTGTGCACGACATTTGCATAGTATTCACCAAAGACGTGTACGGCATGCTATGTGCCTGGAAACAGTGCGTTGGTGAGGAATGCGTTGACGCTCAACCAGTGATCCGTCACGCCAAGCTAGACACTGCTTGTGCAACATCATAATGGAGTTTCATTCTTAGCTACGTTGCGGCGCGACTGCCGCAGTGATATATCCGAAGTCTCACGAAGCAGTCAAGTTCAAGGACGTTTCGTATGTCGGCTAATTGGCCCATAAGGGCGTGTATTATAAGGTCCTTGTGTCGCCCTCACCCTGCTTTTCAATGGACTCGTCACGATTCGAAGTGACCAAACCATACACGCCTTGGATGTCAATCTCGGACGCTTTCGTTTGATTGCAACGTTGAGAACGTTGCATGGTCAAAGGATAGCCACCTTACCTCTCATAAATTTGGCATTCCACGAACTATGTGCACATCCTTCGAAATCAAGGCGGCGTCTCACATGGTATGTACAACATGACACTTCCAATACGGCCACCATCAATGCTACGCAATGAGGCTACTACAAGTTTGCCGTGACAGAAGTGACGCTGAAAGGTGCGAGTTGAATGACGACTACTCACAGCCACTGACAACCCAACGAATTTAATTAACACACACCGCCATACACGACGCATACGGGGTCGCCCATCTGAGATCATCCCACTCCTACTGCAGGCCCACAGCGAAGCTCTATACATATATCACACCAGACGGTATCATCGCTTCCGCGCCGCATTATTCCGACTTATCTCCAGGGGTGTAAAGTCGCCGACAGACATACTCACCTCGACCTACTTCAGCCCTCATCTCCACGACATGACGGGATAGTTTTCTTCCACGGGACAGCACGGGCGGACACCAAATAGGGACCATCGTATCCCCCCCCCGACTACCCGCTGTTGTGTGAACACCATCCCCACTATATCGGCGAGAGAACAACGAACAATCTTGCCGAATACGACGGCTTGGTGGGCGGCTTCAAACCAGCCAACGCGAAGCGTATCACGCATGCCACTGTTTACGGCAACAGCTACTGTACTACATATCCAACCCAACCCATCGAGGTCGCTTTTTACACCCAGACCTCTGCGGTCCATACATCCAGGCTCGCACCCTGGCAGCACAACTTCACCTGGATCCATCACCGGCACCACTACAACCAAGCTGCGGATTTCTTATCTAAACAGCCACCGGATGACCTCTGCAGTAAGTCCTCGCTCCACGCAGAACCCCCCCCAGCACATTGCCTCATTCCTGGATTACCTCGACCTGGACCAGGGATGGGCCCCCGGACTAAACTCCCATAGCACTTAGTTATCTATTTATAACTAGTACTAGTCGACCTTCCACCAACATCAAGTTAGCCATGGGGGTCACTATCGATATGACCACCATGGACGAATGTATGATAAACGTGATGGCAGTCCCGATGAGGATGTTCAGGTACGGGTTGAAATTGAGCATCCTTCGAATGGCCTTTTGGGCGGACCCTCGGAACAGCTTGGACAGCATGTGCACCAACGACACCAGCGAAAACACGAGCATGAAGAACCCAATCGACGCACAGATGTCGCCGGCGGTTGTCGAACTCATGGACTTGTCCACGACGACTTGGTTGTAGAACATGCCGTCGCGGAGGAACTTGGCATCTTGGCACTTGACGGCGCCACTATATCTGGACATGCAATTAGTTCGTTTAACACAAGGAAGGCTGAAGCCGGAAATACAAGCGGATAGTTTGCGGCCATCCACGCCCATCTCAAAAACCGCATCAAAGTAATAAAAAGGACTACGCAGGGGAGTAAAAATTGGGTTCAAATTAGAAATACAGTTTGATTTCTTGATCTTTGGAAGGCATGTCCGTGAAGGTCACAGGCCAGGCGCAGAAAACTGTTTGAGTACTTCTCGGACAAATGACAATGAACTTCCTTGGATGCCTAGTCAATGTGTAAGCTTGTAAGCTTATTAGTATTGTTTCAAAGACATGCCCTAACAACCTCAACAACTCGTTGGATGTCACCTACATACCGTATTCCACTACCGGTACAATATTTTAGAGTCCAGTTGCCCAATCAAGATTTTACGGTCTGGTTTGTGAATGACCTTCATATATCGGCTGATCGCTTTGAAGTGTAAAATACGTACCATATCGTGTATCTTGGCGATTTGTAAAGACCCAACACCCAAGGGGAGTAGACTAGCATGGGGAGTAGACTAGCATCGGATTTTGTCACGAATCGTGGTACCGTAAGCATTCTAAATAATGGGTCGAAAAATTGAACCAGTTCGTTTCCATTCGGATTTGTAAATATATCAAACTGTCAGTTGGACTGGATAACATGGGTGGACTGGATAACATGGGTGGACTGGATAACATGTGTGGACTGGATAACATATGTGTCGAGTATTAGGCATTGGTCGAGCGACAGCCACACACTGCACTGTGTGTATAGTGATCGTGCTGAATCTCGATCGCAACCAACCACCCACCGTCCGTTTTTGTTGACATTACTGGAGCTATTAGAGACTCTTAAACTGACTGTCCACTCTATAACCACAAGGTTATACTCTTGGCTAGCAACGTCCCGGGTCCAGTTTCGCCTCAATGGCCTACGATATCTGATACATCTCATGTATACCGGTACCCCGGAGTGCTTTGCCACTAATAGCTTTAGAATTCTGCAGTATTGTACAGATACTACAAACTGGTCATATGTTGACGGAAAACAGAATACTTGTCCAATTGAGTTGCAAACAAACCGTATCGATACGATCTTCATATAGATTCAAATCGTAATCGAAACGAATCTTGCCAGTTTGACCCAAATACTTACAAACATGGAGGTCACTTTTGAATTTGCCTCGCTATCCCAATGACCGTTCAAACGCCGCAAGTCGACTATGATGACTTTACCAAGGGCCAAAAGATCCACTCGCCCCACTTGATCCTTGCCAACGAAGACGTGGTGGTCGCCCAGCTGGAAGAAGCGGGGTATGTCGAAGACAAGACGTTTGCCGGGTTGCCCATCCACTTGAAGATTTTGTGGGGGCTGTTCTACTTTTGCCTG